TACTATACCTACGTAGTTAGTGTTAGTTTACGTACTTACGTCAACTAGTATATTATATATATATATATATATATATATATATATATATATATATATACATATATCACTCCATCTACGCCAGCATATGCCTACCAAAAAGCCAAACGCATGCTTATCTTCTAACTATCTCATACCCTACCTTGCCGAAGAAGTGATTGAATTTCTCTTCGTTGTCGATTGGATTGGCAAACCCTCCATCCACTCCGAACTCCACGTGGAAGTAGGGGAAGCCTTTGGGAATGGGACATTTCGCGCCATTTCTGGTTGTGATGATTTTCTTGTTGGCACCCCATTCAGACATGCTTTCATTCATTGCCTGGAATTTAGGTTTTAGGGTTTAGGACGTATTGAAGTTCTCGAAGCAAACCAGGAAGCTGGGTGTGTACATATCACACGCGAGTGCCGGCATTCGCACTCATTCATCGAATAACACACAATATTTTAGTACACAAACCAAATACACCGATTACACGGATTTAAGCACAACAGACTCAGCACGTCAACAGACTCTCAGGGCTCAAGCAAACCTAAACCCCCGCCCCAACATTAGGTTTTGGGACGATGCCCACTTTGGCTGACATTTGGGTTGGCCAAATGACCTCCTGGACGAGTATGCTAGTGTGCAGGTGTCAGGTGAGAGGTGACACTACTCTTGACACCGAACAGAGACTTTGACATTTTGTTGCGATCGCTCATATCACATTTGCTTATCATAGGGAAGACGGCCGGTTGGAATTGAGACACGGGACTACTCTTTCTCATAGACATATACATATACACATACACATACATATACATACACACATACACATACATATACATATACATATACATATACATATACATATATATACATATACATATACATATACATATACATATACATATACATATACTTAAAAGTGAAACCTACCACAAACTTATAGTACGGTGGCACATACCTTCTTAAAACACATGGGAGCTATCTCCCCCTCCTCCCGTCCCATTGGTACGCATTCAAGCACAGCATGTCGCTGTCGTTTGAAGCGCATCGCCGTTTCCATAAACACACAGTCCATATCTATTCTGTTGAACATCTTGGTCAGATACTTCTTGCAGATCTGTGTGTGTTGGAGATGTGTACGTATGAGACGGTTAAACATCTTGATAAGGTGCTTCTTGCAAATCTGAGCGTTAAATTTGTGTACGTTTGAGAATATTGAACATCGTGGTGAGATACCTGTTGCAAATCTGTGCCTGTATGATGCGGGAGACGGAGCGAGTGGCCTGCGTGTACACCCTGACCCATTACGTTTACACGTTTAAATAACCACCTAGATTATACCATATTTCTACCACTGAGCAATGATTCAAACTCTGTGCTATGTCAGCTACGTAACGTGTTTCAATATCCAACTAGATGGTTTATACCGTTTTTACTACTAAACAACAATCCAACTATCAGAATGAGAAAGGGACCCTATATATAATAAGTTCATCCCTAACCCGGACTACACTAATACATCACCGCCTGAGCTATACTCGCTAGACATACACTGCACGTGTGCACGTGTACCGTCTGGAATACGAACGATACCTACCAAATGTTTGCCTGTGTATATGTATGTGTATGTGTATGTGTATGTGTATGTGTATGTGTATGTGTATGTGTATGTGTATGTGTATGTGTATGTGTATGTGTATGTGTATTTGTATGTAAGTGTTGTGTACAAGCCCCAATCACAACTACATGCACAGGCAGACAACTAATCTGAAATGTATGTTCACTCACTAGAAGTACACGCGCACACACACACCTTAAACTCGTTCTTTACAACACATACACACGTACACCTTGATTTTGTCTGCATAGCACACACACACACACACCTTAATCTAGTCCTGTACAACATACACACACACACACGCACATACAACACACACACACCTTAATTTCGTCCTGGACATCCTCATCCAGCTCATTAATCGCCACCACGTGGGCCATAGGTACAATCAGACACTGATTCGGTGTCATGGACTCACCCGTAGGTAACATCAGCACCGTCTTAATCCCCACACTAACCATCAGATGTTTAGGCATGACCGGGTTGTCCATGCAGAAGTCACACTTGGTGATAGCGGAGGTGAGCTTCTGCTGGGCTGTGTGGTGTTGTGGGTGAGAAAGTGGGGGAGAGGGGATGGTAGACACATGAGAACGGATGGGAAGCAACTAAACACACAAACACACACCCACACCCACCCACCCACCCACACCCACACACACCCACACCCACACCCACACCCACACCCACACCCACACACACACACACACACACACACACACACACACACACACACACACACACACACACACACACACACACAC